CCTGTCTTCCCCAGCCCCCGCCCACTCTTGGGAAACTCCTTTCCCAACGAATAGTGGGATTTACCGTCACATTATAACGCCCCCCACGGCTGAAAGGGCGAGCGTGTTTGGTGTGACGGGGATTCGAACCCGCGACCCTCAGATTGCGAGTCGAGCGCCGTAACCACTTGGCCATGCCGGGCAACCAACTTGGATTAGAGCTACTGGCGACTGTAAGAATATTTATCGACAGTTACTTCATCACTGCTGCTCGATTAATGAGCTTATAACAAGAGAAAAACATGAAACACGTTTAAGTTTTGTAATACAAGTAACCGACGAGATTAAATAAGACGAAATTAATTAAAATAGTCTTAACTATAAGTAGAAAATTAAGAAAATCCAGGATCTGCTTTCAAGAGTTTCCACACGTGATAAAATCCTCGTTTTTTTTCAAATTTTAAACAATATTATAGGTATCCTTTCACTACCTTGTATAACAATTGCATCCTATTAAAGTCTTGCGCTCAAGACCTATCACTAGCACCAAGTTACTTAAAAGACAGTTACTGCAAGCGAAGTATCAACTACCGGTTTGAAAACACTGCCAACATAAATATTTTGTCAGTGCATTAAGTGTCACTGTAAATCAATCTAGAGGCCAAGTCAGTGCATTAAGTGTCACTGTAAATCAATCTAGAGGCTAAGTCTACCAAAAGACTTCAAAGTGGCAGAAGACTTAGGCATACGGTTTTCAGATGTTGAATCTCATATCGCAGCAGAAACAGAATATCTTATTAATTTTACACAGTATGGACTCTTAAACCTTTATTTTAACAAAATCTAATAATGGGTGGTATTCATACTGTTATATTAAACATGAACGTGTCAGTGTAAGATATCAGATTTATGCCTGTGATCTTATTGCCAGTTTCACACTGGTCAACAGTTTACACTTCCACGAAAAAAAAAAAGTCAATTCCCAACTGAAGCATCTTGTGTTTCAGTTTGTGTGTGTGTGTGTGTGTTGAAGGTGTATTTCACACTGTCGTCAATATAGTCTTGAGCTGTCCTGGGAAGTTTGATGTTCTCTTCCAGGTGATGGGCATTTTCCATATGCTGAAAATAGTTATATACTAGAAGATAGCTTTTATACGCGGAAACATCTGTTGGCTGAGTTCTTGCACAGATCTTAAAATATAATGTTGATACACGGAATCATCGGCACATGTAGATATGTAGATCTTGAAAGTCGAGTTGTTCAAAACTTGAAAATAGCGTTGATAACTGGACCAATTGTTGGTTGAGATGTTGCAAAGGAAATATCTTTTTCTAATCTTCCACGAGTGCGCCTGTATAAATTACATACAATATGTATAAGAAATCCAGAACACGACATCCTTATCTTTACAAAAACTATCCATGGTTACTTTGTAGTGAAGGGCAAAAGCATAGTTCAAAGCTGTGTCACCTAATATGAAATTGGAATAAACAATACAAATATCACAAAAGGACGCGAAGAGGATCATGTGACAGACACGAAAACTCGATACGTGGCCCAGTGGCAGACGTCTAACACGAGGTTCTTACTACTGTAATGTATTTCGGGACCACACTCGTTCACAACTGTCCATTAATTGTTTCAATTGACGTAAAAAAAGGGAATCCCTCTACAGTGTGACTTCACAACTTCGTTACTTGGCAATTTGTTCCAGAAGAGAGTGCCTGTCATCTAAATTTTATGAAATACGGGACAGACATTCAAAACTTCCTGATGTAAGCACTTCAATGATTTGTTTGTTTGTAGTTAAGCACAAACCTAGACAATGGAATATCTGTGATGTGCTCACCACGAGTATCGAAACCCGGTTCCCATCGTTAAAAATCCACAGATTTATCGCTCGCTGTGCTACTGTGGGGCGCGCTTCAGTGGGAAAGAGAAAAACTCTCCGACACACTTCACTTTTAGAGGTTCAGTTACTATTATCCAATGATACAGGTAAAATTGAGAAACAAAAATCAACCATGTCAGATGTTGCTCTAAATAAAAGTGTTACTCTCGCGTAACAAAGAATAACCATTGCGAGGGAGAGAGGCAAAATAATGTATTTTGAAATAGGTTTGTTTGAAGTTAAGCACAAAGCTACACAATTGGCTATCTGTGCTCTGCCCACCACGGGTATCGAAACCCGGATTCTAGCGTTGTAAGTCAGCGAACATACCGCTGTGCCACTGGTGGGCTTTTTTTATTTATTTTTTTGAAATAGGACATCTACTCAACAAATTCTTTGTTCGATGATTAGACGACCAAGAAATCGATAATGCATATTCTTCTAAGTGAACTTGAAAAAACGTTTTGAGCAATTTTTTTGGGAAACATACAACTGAAAACATGTTTTGGCTGATTTCACGTCCCTAATAAGAACGTTGAAATTTTATAGATTCAGGATCTTCGTT